GCCCATGATTCTCTCTCTCTCTCTCTCTCTCTCTCTCTCTCTCTCTCTCTCTCTCTCTCTCTCACACTCTCTCTCTCTCTCTCTCTCTCTCTCTCTCTCTCTCTCTCTCTCTCTCTCTCTCTATTTCTCTCTCTCCCCCCTCCCCCTCGTTTGTCCTTCTTTTGTCCATCCCACCGACCTGTAGACCATGATTCTCTCTCTCTCTCTCTCTGTCTCTCTCTCTCTCTCTCTCTCTCTCTCTCTCTCTCTCTCTCTCTGTCTCTCTCCCTCTCTCTCTACCCCTCCCCTCGTTTGTCCTTCTTCTTTTCATCCCACCGACCTGTAGACCATGGTTATCCCTCAGCACCCACACCGCGGCGTGGAGACGAATATTCTCTTCTCTCAATCTCGTGTCTTCCATCTCAGCCTCCTCGGTATCAGAGTACCGCACTGCCCCACCGGGAAACCGGTCGTGAAGAGATTGAAGAGCATCTGAGAGAACAATATTATTTCATTACTATTATTAAACATAATGTTATATGTGAGACAGCGTGGTGGAATCAGGCTCTCGTCAATTTTTGGGCATGTAGAGTTTTTGGTATCATCTTAAAGCTTGTTCACTAATCTTTATTTGGATGAAAAAATATCCATTTATCTTGAATACAAGTCAAGATATTTGCGAAAGAAGGAGGTGAGGTCATCGGTTTTCAGAGGTAAAATTAGTGAGAAAATGGCAGCCAAAGATTGGTTTTTTCCATAGCTTAAGAGTCGTGGTAAAATTAGGCGTTTGTTAAAAAAGAAAATAACGAAATCAAAGAAACCGTCATGGTCCCGCCCGTCGTGCAATTTTTTTCTTTTTTTTTCATGTCCACCTACAAAAACACATTTCTGTGTAGATTTTATTGAAAATATTTGATTAAAATCACACAACGTTTTTTTTAAACGTAAATCTTGCAGTTTCCAAGAACACTTAATTAAGCTTTATAAGTGACCAAATTTGGCGGCCATTTCTCGCCTTATCTTACCTTAAGCGTACTTAAAGTGCCGTAACAAAAAATATTCCTACACACACATACACACACATACACGCGTGCACGTGCACACACACACACACACACACACACACACACACACACACACACACACACATGCACACACACACACACACAAAATCACTCACAAACCCCCCAAAAACCAAAAGCACAAACACAAAACAAATCAAAACAACAACAACAAAAAACCCACTGACATGCTCACGCTCACACTCACAAACATAAACAAACACATATCCCCCCCCCCCCCCAAATCCCCCTCCAAAAAAACCCTCGACGACTCACTCACCGGGAAAAGCCCGAAGATACTCTGAGTTGGACAGGCCAAAGATGAGGTTGATGGCCGACTGACAAGACAGGCTGACGTCACTCCGGAGGAGCGTCAAGCACAAAGACAAAGATAAACACACTCACAAATGCACAAACATGCAGACCAACAAATAAATTTTCCCCAAAATTATCGACGACCCACTCACCGGGAAAGGCCCGAAGATACTCGGACAGTTGGACAGGCCAAAGATGAGGCACAAAGACAAACACAGAGACATAAATAAACACGAACACAAACAAACATACACACAAAACAGAACACAAATATTTCCCCAATAAGTCACGACGAATCACTCACCGGGAAAAGCCCGGAGATACTCCGAGTTGGACAGGCCAAAGATGAGGTTGATGGCCGACTGGCAGGACAGGCTGACGTCCATTTGCAATAGAACGTATCCTAATTGGACAGCCCAAAGATGAGGTTGATTGCGCGGACTCTCCAGGGCTTCTTCGGAAAACTGGGACGACAGCGCGCGCTTCGTGAGTCGCCGTCTGTTGTCTCGGCTGGACTATAGTAAGGGGTGGGGGTGGGGGGGGGGAGTAGAAATACAGTCGAAATGGTCCTAGACGGCTACCCGTTGTTGTCGAGGAGAAAAGTGGGTGTTTTAGACAGATAGACGTATTAGACAGTGGCATTATATTTTTACCCCC